CCGCCGCCATCACCATCACCACCCACAGCAGCAGCAGCAGCAGCATCACACCTTCAGATGGGCAGCAGGAGGAGTTGGAGTGAGAGGAGAAGTGGCTGCTCCCCCGGGGCTGTCACCAACACTAATATCTGTCTGTCTCCATCCAACACACATATTTCTACACACACACGCGGGTTCCAAACACAAACTAAGCTTTTATTGTGAAGCTCCGTCTCCGTCTCCTGCTCACAGAAACATTCACCACAGTGAAAATGTAACAGAATGTAAGTGTAGATTCACGCAAACTGGGCTGAAATGCATGTGCACGCGCGCACACACACACACACGTGCAACACACAAGAAAGTGTATGAGGAGCCCGGGCGTCCTCTACATTCCATCTGTCCCTCTTCCACAGGTACTATGTTTTTTTTTTTTTCTTTTTCTGTTGAGGTTCTGTCTTTTCTGCCAGTGGAGGTTCTGGAACTGGAAGAACACGACGCAGGAACCGTCAGTGTCGCATACCAGAGGAAGAAGGAAGGAAAAATAAGAGCAAAGGAAGTGAAGAAAGAGAAAAACAGAGAAGGTCTGTATTTAAGAGAGGGTTTGGAGCTGCCCCCTCCCTTTACTAAAGTACCCCCCCCCCCCGAAGAACGTAAATAAAGCCTGGATATCTGTCACAAACACATTCCTAAGTCTGCAGAAAGAGAGGGAAAAAAATACACACACACACAGAGCGAACATGTACAGTAGAACACAAACATCTGCCCCCCCTCCCCCTCCCCCCTCCCTCACAGAGCTGCTGCACATGTGTGCCACAAGACCTTCTCAGGTTTCAGGAGGTAGCAACAGAGGGAACCCCCAGGTTCTCCCAGTGTGCGCTGACTCCTCACCAACCGGAGCAGCAGGAGATCTGGCTGTGGCTGCGGTCCACTCACCTGAAGGAACGAAATGAAGAACTTTGTTGGTCTCCATGTCTGAGCGAGCGTTGGCGACGGCACCCTTCCTCTCTGACCCCCCCAGTCAACCCATCATGGTTGTATTATCCTGGACTGATGAGTGTGAGATCACCTCTGCTCTGCCTCTGCTCTCTCTCTCTGACTGACTCCCAGACACATGCAGTGACTCAGCCCCACTCCCCCTGCCCACTCCTGTCTCACTGCTGGGTCCTAGTGCCGCCGCCTCCGCCACCTCCTCCTCCCCCTCCTCCTCCTCCTCTCTCCATTCCTTCACTCCAGCAGCCAATAGATGGTCAGCATTGAGCAGAAAACCCGCACATGTAGACACACCTCCCTGAGCACGCTCCCCTTGGCTGATGGTCAGGTCATCTTCTCCCTCCCTCTCTCTCTCTCTCTCTCTCACACACACACACACACACACCACACTACACACACTACACGGTGTCTTTGATATATTAATAAACAAGTTAGTGCATGAAAGTGAACAAACCTGTGTCCACACACAGGAATGTGGCGTGTTCCCGTTCAGACGTGCATCTCCTGCTCAGCTCCTAATACCACACTCTTCACTCCATCCTCAGAAACAAACCTCATCCTACACCTACTCCAACAGCTCGGCTCAACTGAAGCTCACGGCAGTAGATTAAGAGTTTAGGGTCAAACAGAGTCAGATCAACAGGTAGAAGACGATGATGAGGGAGTGACATCAGCAGAAAGATTCAAAGTGATGGAGCAGATTGTGCTAATGTTGTATTTAGTTCAACAAAAACTTCAACTCCGAGAGTGAATACAGACGCCAGAACTAAGGCTAGCTGCTACAAGCTAACGGTATAGCTAGTCCAGAATAGAGCAGAAAAACAGAGCTAAAAAACAACCAAACCAAACCTGGATGTCTACATGTGCTGCAGCTGTCATCAACCAATACTTATGTGGATTTAAAAACTTAATCAAGTAACGAATATCAAAGGCTCAGATGAATATACACACAGTACACAGACAGAGGTGGATCATTAAATCAGTTTTTGCTTATTTTCTGAAGGTTGTTTCCTACATTTGCACAAAACCAAATTTAATCCAAGAAAAAACAGCCCACAAAAGTAAGTCTGTTTCCTGTGAACCATTATGTCAGCAGGGGGCGTTCCCGTTCATTCCACTGACAGAGAGCAGAAGGAAACACACAAACCATCCAGAACACGTCACACACTATAGGCAGCAGTTACAGCAGTAACAGCAGCCGTTACCGTGACCTGGTCAACACTCCAGTCAGGACTCAAACCTGTTTTTCTCTGCTGTTTTCACAGGAAACAGAGTTTTTATTATTAGTGAGAGTTCACGGGTCTGTGGGTTTTAACGGCCTCCGTCCAGGGACCTCACAGTTTGAAAATATCGTCCTGGCAGGAGAGGCACAGAGGAACCTGTTTATGTTACACATACAAAAGGCGTGTGTGTGTGTTTGCACATATCACATGTGTGAAGCAGATAGTGACCTAACGTCAACTCTTCTGTCCAACACTCACGATAGAACACTTCTACATGGTTACCACCGCTGTGACAAATACCTTTAGATTAATATATATGATTGTACATCCAACTGATCCTTCACAGTACACAGTACACAGTACACAGTACACAGTACACAGTACACAGCAGCACAAGGTCCAACTGCTACAGTGAAGCTGGAGACCCGTCCTGAGCAGACACATGTTAGACCGTAACTTAAATGTCTGGTTGAAAAAGTTTTACTGAGGAGTTTTTTTTCTCGACCCACCAACATTCTTCTTTGACAGTGTTGTTCTTCACTAATGCCTCTGTGCCTGTGCCAACCGTGCTGCCCTCTCAGGTTTCCTCACTGCAGTCTGGACATTTGCTTACAGTCCAAACCTTCAGCTTCCAAACTCTCAAAAACAGAAGCTACGACAAAATACTAAGCCTAAAATCATCTCCTCGTATGTTGTTGTAGTCCAATACTAGTAGATTTAAAATCATGAACCAGTCAGCTGTTGGGGTTGATGTTGAACGACATACGGCGTAAAAATGATTCAAATGAACCAAAGTGGTGCATTGATGTAAAGGTCAGTCATTAGCATACGTCTGCATGTGCAGCATCTCAGTGTGAGCTCTGGCCACTGGCTCTGTTCTGCTGAGGAACTGTTGAGCTCTGACAGAGAACGTGCGTCACTCACTCAGCCTCAGAGCTGGTTTTCAACATCACTAACCACAAACGTGCAGCGAAAAAAACAAACAAAAAAACCCCACAAGAGTGGACGACCAGGGTGCAGTGGGTCTGACGAGCAGATGGGTTCAGGGTTCGATTTCATCAGGCTTTATTATCAAATCTAAAAATCTGGTTGAAACTGCTAATTTTTCCAGAGCAGACACTGAACATTGTCACATTTACTGTCACTGACCCACAGATGTTAATGTTGTTTTGAGGTCATCGTGGATCATTTACATATAGATTGAGTTTTACTGCATCAAACCCACTTACGTACCTACAGCTGGTATATATTTAGCTAAAATCCTCCCAAGCCAATGACTTCTGGGTAATTGAATTTCTGCTTTTACTGTTTCAATGAGAAGGTCTTTTGTCTTAACTGCTAAGTTGATAAATGTATGACTTCATTATTGGCTCGTTGTTTTGTCTTAGCTGTTATTCTCCCAACCAGTGGATCTCACAGTCAACACCACCGAACAATACACACCTCACACAAGGTTAGGCACACACACACGCACGCAGCACAACAAAGAGACAAACACGTCCATGAAAGTGTTACTGAGTTTCCTCACATTAAAACTGAACAGAAATCCGTTCTTCTTTTATGAATATCAATGAGAAAAACGTCCGATTTTTAATAAAGGTTGTCAGTCTCCCTCTGTTTTCTTGCAGCAGAGTTATTCTCCTTTCTCATTGTACCTGGAACAGATCCATCCATTCACTCTCAGCTAGTTCACATCTTGTCCCTCACTCTTCTCCCCCACCATATCGTTCCTCCCCTTAAGGGTGGTGGCGCTCCACCATTTTCAAACCATTCGTCTAAAACAACCTGCAGATTCTCTCGTCTTCAAACGTGCACACTCACAGGAGCTTTTAAAAATATGTGAACATTAATATTATTTCAGGAATCCCTTCAAGGACAACAAAGTTGGTTGATCCACCATCGACCAACTTTGGAGACTGAAAAGCATAAAAAGAGCACATTACTGAGGACCGGTACAGATCTGAGCACAGGCAGTAGTGTGTGACGAGGTCGGACACGAACACGAGCCAGTGTTTGGAGACAGATGAGTTGGACGAGGTGTAGACGCTGGCTGTCAGAAAATATAATGAGCCAAAGGAAAAGGAAGTTATGTTCACATAAATATTTAACCTGTTTCTCAGCTTTAATCATCGGTGCCAGGAAGAACCCAGAAGAACGTGTGTCAGAAACAAAGGCTACATTCAAGTAGGAGAAGCCTTAGCCCTACACCAAAACCATTTTAAAAATGCATTTCCTTCTCAAACCTGGGCAGAAGCTTCGTCCTCCTGAGGCTGAAGACGAGGGACAGAAATCAGTCCTGGACATCGGTACTGGGGTTCAACGATGTCTGACCTGCGCTCCCTGTGTGGAGTGTGGCTGCAGCCCTGAGACCTGCTGCCACACACACACACACACACACATGCACACACACATGCACACACTAAGCTGCCACAGACATGTGTTGTGTTCAAGGGTCTGGGACGGTGTTGTCTCAGAGACACAACAGTCAGAAGGTGAGTGTTTACACCTGTCCTGAAACGACAGCTCCATCTGTCCGTCATCGTCACCTTTTGTCTGGACGGTAGAACACTGAAGGACAGTCACTGGTCCTGGTTCTGGTTCTGGCTGTCAGGCTGTGACCTCCTGCTCTTCTTTGGTAGATCATGTTTGTGGACAGAGCCAAGGTGTCACAGTAAAAAGAAAAAACGGAAAGAAAATCACAAAAAATGAAGTGGAGTCGCGTTCTAGGAACAGACCTCTGACATAAAGCGAGGACCCCTGTAGTCATGAAAGTGGGGTTACACCCTGGACAGTCCAGTTCATCACAGGGTCACATACTGTTTAGAAACAAACCAGTGTTCACACTCATTCACACTCACATTCACACCTGTGGTTAGTATGACGTAAACAATTAACCCTAATCCTCAATCTGCATGTCTTTGGACAGTGGGAGGAGGATGGAGACCCCCCCCCTCTGACCCCTCCTCCCACCAGTTACTGGTGAGCTCTAACCACCCGCCAACCAAACCAAAAATACTTCGTAAGTCAATGATAAAAATGTATATCCGTTTTTCTGCACCTATATCTTTGTCACGCATTATTGAAAGTGTCAGTTTTATCTAATGGACGATGATATTTATCTACTCAGAGAGTAAACTCAGCAGAACTCCAACGCTGGCTGCTGTCATCAGGACCTGCGATCCGAGTGTATCGACACTAAAGTGCGACAGATTAAGTACTGACTGAACTGCAGCAAACAGACGACACACACAGTTGTAGCTTTTAGAACAGCTGGGTTTGTCTTGCGAATGGAATTCCTTCACAGTTGTTTGTGAGAAACTGTCACAACAGTCAGGGGCGACACCTTCACTAAACATCAGAGCCGGAGCTGGACCTCACCTCGTTTCCACAACAGGTCCCACAGTGCAAACAGGAGCTGCGCAGTGTGTCAACAGCCTGTGTGTGTGTGTGCGTGTGTGTGTATGATGCAAATAGCCTGAAGGACCAGCAGGGATCCACTGGTTGTGGACTGGTACTGTTTAGGGCCCACAGTGTTACTTTTAAACACTTGATGAAGTCAATGCTTCTGTGCCTGCTCAGGGCAGGCTGATTTAGTGAAGGCTGACACAGAGGTCTGAACAGTGAGTGGGTGACACCCTAAGGTGCAGAGTAGTACTACAGCGGGATGTGAAATGTTTGGTAGAAAATTTTAATTTATTTGCACTGGTGTATAATGAACATTTCATTTTACACCAGTGCAAATTCCCCCCCCCCCACTTCTCTCCTCACTGTTGGCCCAGCCCTCTCATATGTTAATGTGCAGTCAGGTGCCTTCAGCTGCTGTGAGCGTGACTTGAGGGTTTTCAGAAAGACGGAGTGGGTGTGTTTAAAAAGGACAGAGTGTTTCTGCAGAGTTCTCTTTCCACTTCCAGCCACAGTAGTCAGTCCAAATGAAGGAAAGTGACTCAGTGAAAAAGCTGCTGATGCTACAGGTCTGTCACTGGGTCCAGTCTGAAAGATTTAAGGCCTTCACCACAGTC